TTTTTATTGAAATTAGAATAAAACCGCATGAGTTTTTTAAATGTAAAAAAATATAAATATTAATATACATTTAAAATTATGTATATGCGTGCTATGTTTAGTAGCAAAGAAATTTATCGAGACGTAAAATAAGTAATATTATGTACTTTCGTTATTCCAAATACTGGAAGAAATTTCTCAAGTGTACTTGTTTTAAGGATAATTCAAACAGTCGTTCCTGGACTTCCTCCTCGAGTGCCAACGGAGGAGGAGCCATTTCTTTACAATTACTAATAAATATCCCACCTTTTTCTTCAATATCTACATTCGTTGCGGCATATACTATTGGAATTGCTCCTCGATCGGATGTCTGTAACAGTAATGCAGCAGCGATTTAATTGATAGCTTGGAAAAATTTGATATATATATATTGTTACCTTCCACGTAGCCATAAGCCACTTGTTACTGCCAAACAAGGTATCTTTGAATAGATCTGTCCCCACTATGCCTGGATGCACGGAATATGCCAATATATTCAACGACTTGTCTCTGAAGAGTCTCTGCAGTGTTATCGTGGACATTGTCTGCGCTAATTTACTTCGTGAATACGATGCATGCGTGCAAAATGATTCCCTGGTACAACAATAAAGTAATCGTTTGAATTCTAAGGAAAGTCACGCGTCATCATACATCAGCAAATAATCTTAAATCCAGTCGTGAGTTAAGAATAAATGAATAAAAATAGCGATATTTCTTTTTTTTTATTACTTGGAGTTATTGATGTAGTCAAAATTTATGTTGGCCGTATCGTGAGCGCATGACGTGACGTTAACAATCCTGCTGCATTCGCCAGGGCGCCCGGCGGTTTTCAGTAACGGCAGAAGGAGAGACGTTAGTAGAAAATGTGATAAATAGTTTACCGCCCACTGTTCTTCGTACCCGTCTTCCGTCTCATTGTAGGTAGGAGGGAACATAATAGCAGCTGAAAAAAAAGTTTTCTTTCACGCGCAGGAATAAGCATTCTGTATTAATATGAAGATTGATGTGAGAAATAATTGGTATTCATAATCGGCTCTTATGTAACTTCGTTTACCATTGTTGACCAATATATGAATTCTATCGTAGTCTGTTTTGATTTGCTTGACGAATTTTCTGACCGATTCGAAACAGGAGTTATCAAGTTTGTAAACCTTGGCCCTTCCGCTAATGATGCCAGATCTTCTAATCTCGTGGATGAGTTTTTCACCCGCGTTAGTTGTCCTACAAGCTAATCATATATTTTCATATATCAGTGTTATGTGAATGCGAGTAATACTGCATCGAGATAATAACTTAATAAATAATTCACCGATTATAACTTCCATGTCACACTGTAACAATTTCTTGACTACTTCCGCTCCTATACCTCTTGATCCACCGGTTACAATTGCCACTTTATCCGGCTTTAAGGGTAAAGCTGAAAAGGAATTTAAACGAAATACAAGCATGAATTCTGTAATGCTACAAATTTTTCATTTAATCATATTCTATAAATTAACGAATTTTGAAAAAACATGAAGAACAAAGAATTAAATGCTACATTGTCAAATATCATTTGGTCACGAAATGTCTTATTCTTTTTTCAAGATAATTAATTTTAATATTTTCGCGATTAGACACAAGGCGATGAAGAATTTTATATGCATTTTATGTATGTCAATAAAATCGTAAACAATGACACGTGTTGCAAGCAAAATATTTTTAGTTACAATAATTTATAATATTTCTTTGATATTATGTTTTAAGAATATTTTGTGATTCAACGTCAAAGTAAATAATTTATATATGTACATATAAATAATTAATTAATAACTTATATATATATATATAATTAATAATTTATATATATATATATTAAAATATATAAATATACATATAAATATATATATATATATAAAATTAAATATTTTCAGTTATATATTATATATATATATAATAATAAATATTTTCAGTTATATATTATATATATATATATATATATAATAATAATAATTTATAATATTACTTAAACTTTTCCGGGATATATAAATAAAATTCCGAAAATCTACAATTGTGTTCTTATGTTCTTCAATGTACCTACATGCAGAGAATGTTTTAAATGGTACAGTATACCTATGCGTAAAAATTTTTAAAAAACATCTATATGTGTATTTTTCTTTCTTACCTGTTTTATTGATTCGGTAGTTTAACATATCGTGAAAGTGATACACTATTCCAAGGTAATACATTTGCAGTCGGCAGACCACGCACAATTTGCGGGAATAGGCGATGACGCCGAGCGCTATAGAGGCGCAGACCAATGTTATTACGAATAACATTTTTACACGAGATCGATTAACAATTTAATACACTCGATATGCACATTGATTCAGAAATGAAAGCACCAGCTGCAAAATCAAGTGTTGCAAGACCAAGTGTACGACCGTAAAGAAATTCCTTTCCGACCAAACCGATCACCGTTAGGCACCGCTCCACATCCGTACTTTCCAGCTGCATCAACCGTTATGCGTACGATCGTTCGTGCATACGCTATATATATGGAGAATGTCGTCTTTTAAGAAATAGTACTTGGCCCGTTCCCCTCTCTAGCATTCATGTCCTTCAAATGTGGAATATCTTCGCTATCCGTGACGGGGAGTGACAACATGGACGATGTGTGTCCAAACAACTTCTAAAAGAATAAAATTATTTAAATTCTGCGGTTTTCTTATATTATACTACCTATATTTATTATTAGATTTTATTTTCCATTACTTTACTGATAAAATAATGCACTCTGCCCGATATTTTATATTAGTTATTAGATGTTATAATTGTTACGTAGTTTATCCCTACTCGATGAAAGTCTGAAGCTATGTCTTGGTCCTGTCAATTAATTTCTGATGCTTGGAAGAGTACGCTGAGTGTAAAAATTTTTGAAAGTTTTTAATTTTTTCGAAATTCATAATCATATATCTTGTAATAATTCCTGTAAATATTTATGCCTTAAAATTCTTTATTCTATTTATATATTTTCTCTTGATTTCATTATTTGTATCGAATCTACATTAAGAATCGGCCGTAATAAAAAAAAAAGAGCCTCAATTTCTGAGGTGAAGTAAAACATGAAATGATAGATTTAGGGATAATTTAGGATAATTTCGTTTAGGATATAATTTCTATTATTTACCAGAAGATTCGAATAAAAGATATTCAGTCATCATTTTTGAACAGATAAAATAAATAAATAATTTAAATGTGTTCCGCTTGAATATAACAAATGTAAGGAAATTAAAGTCAGTTTTAAGGAAAAAAATTATGGTTGTAAAGCTAAATTTAATATATTTTTTTAGTCTACAATAGTCTACATGAATTGAATTCGGAACGTGTTTCGACTTTACGAAGTCATTTTCAGCCGAACAAAATCTTTAATAGAAAATAAATTTCTATTCTAACATAATGAATGCGAGATGTTTAAGAAGTATAAAAATTATAAATTATTGAATAAGAAAATTACACAAAGTGTAGAGCAACATTGTAAGTCACATATACGCTATCAGAGATACGCATAAATATAAATAATATTAACGGAAAAAACAAGTAGATAAAAGTAAATAGTCAATATGTAAAAACTTCTGATATGAGTCAATTCTATGCCGTCCAAAAGAGAAAAAATGTGGTTACACACACACACACACACACACACAATTTTTATTTAGTTAAAGATAACTTCGTAAAGTCGAAACGCGTTTCGTGCGCGACCACATTTTATGTAGACTAAAAAAATATAAATTATATAAATATATATTATAAATTTAGCTTTACAACCATTACTTTTGCTTGAAAAAATAAAATGCTTGTTAAATTCTGTTTTTAACATCTTTCCGACACTTACGTAATAAATTTAAGCTACATGGTAACTTAATATTATAACAATATATACTATATTATATTATATAGCAATTCCATTAATAATAACGTGGCAATGGAATATTTCCATTATTATTAATACGCTGTAGCGTCTGCTTACATTCACATGAATCGTGATGTACTTATAAAAAAATACTTGGTAGGAGGCGCTACTGCGTCAAATCTTTTGACGATAAATTATTTCACAATGATTAATAAAAATTCTGTCCGATGGTGATTTAACGATCATAAATCTTGTGAAATTTCTTGCGACGAAATATTTTTGTTATAACGCTCAGAAATCTCAAGAATCGGTGGTACGCTTGATGCTCTAACGATTATATTTTTAACCTATTGTCGTGTAAATATTTGTACTTTAAACTTTAAAATGTTCAGAGGAAAAGAAACATGTATGTAAAGACACAAAATGAAATAAATATATCTTCGACAAGTATACATTTTTTTCGCTGCAACTAGATTTTTTAGATTTTTTTCAAGTTTTTATAGTATTTTCAATTGAGTAAACTGTAAATTATTCTTATTATTTTAGATACTTTAATTTATTTTTCTTTTCATATTCTTTTCATATTCTTCTCTTCTTATTCTGAGAAAGAAAAAATTCAGCAAGTCAAAAAACAACTCTCGCGTCTTTTTTTACTTCACTCCTAGCTCAAGGCTTTTTTTTATGCAGAACTTTTTCTGGTATTTTTTACACAATTAATCGTCTATTTTAACATTAAGTAATAACGTATAATACATAATAAATCATGTTCCTCTCAAAACAAAAAATCAAGGTGTGTTAAAAATATTAAAATTATAATTAAAGAGAAAGAAATGCTTTAAAAGTATTGTCTTTTTCCCCTTGTCCGTCTCAAATTATGTAAGGACCACTGCACCAAATAAATGCCGAAACTTTTTACAAAATCTTCATAAATTATCGCGGACTTTTTTCGTGTCGTTGCGCGGTATGAGATATCGTCCTGTGTCAAGAAGGAAGTAATAAGTAATTGTTAAATTCGTTTAACGATTGCACGTCCACTTTTTCACATTTCTTGTTCATCTTCGTAAACAAGAAATACGTACTTTTTAACGTATATTTCTTCACGCGCACTCTCTGACAACTTGTGTAACTCCGCAATAAGATCTCCCTTTTTTACCCTGTTCGTTTAAACAAGTTTCTTTAACAATTTACTCGTCGCTTCGGTTTATCTCTTGAGACAATTAAGAGATAAACCGAAGCGACGAGTAAATTGTTACTGTATTCACAAAATAGACACGTGCATACTTTTTTTCTATAGTTGGAGCAATTATTTCTGCGCGAGGACAAATTTTAATGACTAGCAAAAAAATGCGAGGCCAGTTCTCTGGCTAAAATAAAAATCGTAGTCCATAAATCTTCAAATGTAAGTAAAAAAATATATATAAGTGAAGAGATAGAAGCGTAAGCAAACGTTCTAGGATAGATTAGATTGATTAGATAGAACAATGGAAAGACAAAACGTTAAAACGCTACGTCAATATGCTTTTACGTTTCGCTGCTCCAGTCTACACGCCCTAGGCCCTAGAACGTGGTTACGCTTCCGTCACTCTTTTCTTACGTTTGATTTATTCTCCTTTTTGTTCTTACGCTTTATTTTTGTCAGGATTCATTTTTTCCATGTGCTTATTTGGCGCTCCCTCGTTGCGTTCGGAGATTCCTCGCTCTTTCTGGCACGTGGCAATAATGACAGGTCTGTCAGCTGTAACAGCTGATACGGTCGGCACTCGGCGCATGAGCATATCGCACTTGAACTCCAAACAGTCTAGACTATAACCATAAACTCGAATTCCCTCGAGGGTTAGCTCCGTCGAAGCATCGTCGTGTCGCTTGAAGAATTTTTCAGTGCTCCCATTTCTTATTTTTTTAAACTATGATCGCCAAAATTCCGTCTCTGCCTTCCTCCGTTTTCCTCCGCAAATAATTCCAATTAGCTTAATCAACACTTGCGACCTATCAAGTCACATCTATTATTTTAACATCTATTATATTTTTGTTGTAAAGAAAAAAATTAGATTACGGATGTGTTGGAAATTTTTGCTTCTATTTACACTAAAATCTTTGCCGGTTGATCGCCTGAGAATGCAGACTTCGATCCAACTTTATTAGATTAATTCAATCGATGATTAACTTGTCAATTACAATACCTGATGTTTTAGCCTCTTAATGAGAACAATATTTTTCATTATTCAATTAAATATACAGTTAACATGAATATACAATTATTTGTTACTTACTATACTATCCAAGGAGAAGAGATTAGATTAGGAACGACGAAATTTAAATCTTGTAGTTTGAAATTTAATTATACACGCATGTATAATACATATAACGTTGCTGTCGAACAATTATTCTACCAGATGAGTCAATCAATCGAGTTAATTGGAGTTCGGTTAAAGTCGCTGATTTCGTCACGAGGTGGCACCAGGTCGCGGACATCGCGCGACATCTGCGGTGCGTACGGGCCGTCCGGTCCGCGCAAGCGAGAGATTAATTACGTTTGCCAATATTCCCGAGGCTTCTCCGTACCCTCGGCTCGTTTAGACACGTAGATGTCCCGAATAGGTGGACCCGCGCGACCGTTTACCGCCGCCACTGACGTGTAGATCGGCCTGGTCCCGGAGTGTCCTGTGCGTCGTCGTGCGGAGCGTGCAAGCGCGTAAGTGTTTATTCGTCTCGCCTGATTTAGAGCGGGCATGGAGAAGGACCGTGTCGATGGTCAGGTGACGGTGTGATACACCTGGTTCCCTCCCGAGTCATGCAACCTGTATTGCATACATATATCAATCGTGCTGCAGACAGGAAAAGTGCTTACGCATGCCCCGCATGCCGGCCATGAAAAAGTTTCGAACCCGAGAGGATTTCCGCGTTTTCCTGTCAACGGGCATTTCTCGGCCGAAAAGAGGCAGCTTTCCACGCCGAGAGCGTGGCCCCGCCGTGGCCACTTTCACTTTAGAAACGCGCGATGCTCACGACACGCAACGGCGAATTTTTTTCTTTTTTTTAATTCACGTAAGCCCGCGTGATTTCTGCGCGCATAAATTATACAGGTTTCCGCCGGAGATTCTGCTGACATTTTCGTCGAAAAGGAATTTAGTGCGAACAAGTTTCTCTACACAAGTCGGCATAATTACTTTTTTTTTTTATCTCAAAGATGTTTTTCTTCTTTCTCCTTCAGCTTCAGGATGGTGGACAACGCAAGCAGCGGATCCAGCGACTCGTCGCCACAAATTGAGAAGGGATGGCCAGCCTTGAAGCAGCACATTGTAGATAATAAGATCAAATTTGGATTATGGGTCACCAGATTCTTCACTTTAATATTCACCATTGGCTACATTATTCCTATATTTGGGTAATTTCACCTTCCTCAATTTTGTAGAGCTAGAGAGACAGAGAGAGGACAGTGCTTGTCCTTCTGAGCTGGTTTTACATTAGTCACATCTCAGCATCGCAAATGTTGCAATCCAGTTGTGATCTAATCAGCATCGAGCTAGCTTGATACGTTTGCGACGCTGCAATGGGACTAATGTAGAAGTATCAGCTTAACAACATTTCTTAAATCTCTTTTTTTTTTCCAGGAATCCCTACAATATATATTATAAAGTATTAATGAATAACGCGGCGACTAGCGCATTACGTCTGCATCAAAGAGTGCCCCGCGTTCAGCTCACGAGACAATTTTTGGAGACATTGCTGTTGGAAGACTCGTGCCACTACCTGTTCTACTCCTTGATATTTTTGTATGCGGCACCAGTTACACGTATCCTTCTCCATATATAAAGACAAATTTATATGTATACATACGTATACTCTGTCGAAATAATTTCTTAAATTTTTCATATTTTAATAACAAAATTGATTCCTGAACTCTGATTCCGTATACAGTGGTGCTTACACCAGTTTTTCTTTTTGCTCTGATGCATCTGGCTAGTTATTCTCTCACATTGCTAGACGTAAGTAAACAGATTAATATTAATTATGCAGTGCGGACAAAAAAAATTATATCTTACCATCTCTGCATAGTCATTATAAGCATGTAAGTTGGAACTTGTGATCTTGTAGTGTCTAGGACATAACAGCTGGTGGGGCGCTCGTCTGTTGATATCCCTGGTAGAATTCCAATCGCGGAATATCCTACGCCTGTGCGCTCTGTCGGAGATCATCATCTTGCCATTCACCGTTCTTCTAGTATTCACGTACGTATCACGCGCGACACGAATAAATTATTAACGAGTAGTGATATCGCGGCCATTATTAAATCATCTTTTTTTACATTACAGGGGACGCGCTGGTTTGCTGACTCCTTTTGTCTATTACCAGTTCTTGAAGCTGCGTCTTGCGTCGCAAAGAAATCCGTTCACGCGTAACGTCTTTTACGAGCTCAGGAACGGCTTGAGCTCGGTGTCGAAGAAGCCGGCCGTACCGGACATCGTTAGGCGGATGATCGAGGGTCTGCTTTCGTTGACCCAACAAATGGCGCCAGTGCGTCAATAATATCTTTCGATATTGAATTCAATTATTTCTCGTATCGTCTTAAAAAAGACAGATCTCCTAGGGTTCTAGGGTCCACTCAGCGACACTTTCATGAATTAGTGTTAGCGCGAAGTGAGTGCCGACATCAAAATTCATAGCGAATGTTATGTTACATAATCATGATTATATAATTTGGAATATCTGTGAAAACAAAGCATATGAAACGCGTTTCTTGCATTAACAATTATGCTCAGTTATTATTAAATGTTAAAAATTCGTATAAAATTTTTGGCTTAAACGGCAATTTTGTAATTCGACATATAGATATTCGAGTTCTGTTTTTCGTTTTCAAATATAAAGATAACTGTGCACATATGTACTAACTTTATAATTTTTAAATGTAATTTTGAAGCCATGAATTTGTAACGAGTAGATATTATGCATAATGGAGTTCACTGGTTAATGGAGTTTAATGTTGATTAAATTCTGGTTGTTTTTCTTTTTTAATGGTTTCGCACAGTTTTGCGGTATTAGGGAATGTAATATATTTAGTATGTAAGTTAAAAATTATATTCCGAATTACACGGAATGTATGGTTGACACGTCATCCTTTTGGGATAAGCTCTGGAACAAGTTGTTTAATTTAATATTATATGTTTGTTTTTGTCAATTATTAGTCTAGCGCAATCTCGTCTATCTTCTACCTGATGTTTGGATATTTATCATGTTTAAAAGTAATTCAGAATGGTTTTATATAAATGAAAATAGTTATCGGTATACTGTAGCAAAACATCTTGAAATATTAATAAATCTTTTTAAATAAAATGTGAAAATGTTTAATGTGTAGGTATTCTTATGTAACTTCAATCCTTTTTTTGTGTTTCGGACAAAACCTTGGAAATAAAATACAAAACAGATCTCATTTTTTAAATTTATTTTTTAAATGCATATAAAAATGCATTCAAATTAATTGTTATACGGCGATAGGAGCAGGTTGAGGTAAGTCTTTTGATGGTTTCACCTCGGACATCGGAACCGATGGCGGAATCTCTTCTTTCGGTTCCACAATCGACACGTAGTCAGGAAGAGGCTTCTTCGGGCCGCTCTTGCCATTGGGATCCCACGGTAGCATAATCTTGACTTTGATTCCCAATACGCCTAAGATACAGCACAAACGTAACATGTAATTTGAAGCACCAAGCACACGACTTTTGAAAAATGAATTGGACGTAGAATAAATTTCTGAATGCACATCCTAATATCAAGTTTTTATGAACATATTGCTATAATTAGGCAAAAAATTAATCATCGTGGTAATGCTATCGTACCTTGCCGCAGCAGTACATGCCGGGTGGCAGTGTTCACGTACTCGTTGGTCGGCTCACCCGAGTGGATCATGAGACCGTCCACGAACTTCATCGACTTCGCTCTCTGACCACGTAATTTGCCGCTGACGACGACCTCGCAGCCTTTCGCGCCAGATTCCATGATGAAGCGCAGAACGCCATAGCACGCCCTGATCCGTAGTAAAGTAACATTCAATGAGAATTGCAAAAGAGGCATAATTCGAACTAGCAGAACAAAGGAGAAAGACTTGCCTTCGTACAGCGAGACCTCCAATCAGCTTGTAACGAAGGGACTCTGCCTGCGCGATGGCGCACAAGCCACGCGTGGCCACTTTCTCGGCGTACAACTCGACATTCTGCGGCTCCTTGAAGTTGAAACGCTTCTGCACCACGGACGTCAGCTCCCTGATCCTGCGGCCCTTCTCGCCGAGCACGCTCTGCGTGTGGGTGGCCAGCAAAATGATCTCGGTTCGATTCGGCGTCACGCGGACCTCCACGCCCGAATAGCCATCTTCGGCGAGCTCGCGAGTCAAGAACTCGTTGAGCTCGGCTCTGAAGACACCGTCGCCTACAAACTGAAAAAAAAAAAAAGATAATTAATCTAATTATACGTGCAACAAAATTTCTTTTTCTTTACACTAAACAGCATGAATATGTGATTTAATTTTATTATAAAAATAAAATGCAACTCGTTATATTTAAGATATTATATTGCTCCATCATTTTCATAACACGATTTGTACAGATTCGTAATGGGAGAAATTAGCGCAGATTATTGCTTATTAGATATTATCGTAGCAGTGGAATAATATTAAATATGAAAAGTTTATATTTAATTGTTAATTAATGAAAGTTTATATTTATCGATTCACTTCGTAGGTTATGTTCAACGAGATAAACACAACTACGCGACATCCAACATGTAACCTCAGGATAATCACAGAGAAAATCAGAACACACCGAGTTTCACCTAACAGACATATATACATTTTAAATAATTTTGAAGAATGACACGCGGAGCGGCGAGATCCACGCGAGAACGACGCTGGAATCCATGTCATCCGCGTACCGCGGCTACCGCGCTCGCCCGATTTTCGGCGAAATATCGCCGGAGAAGCTTCCGGCGTTGCGACAACGAGGATATTTTTACGTATTGCTCATGACAAACTCCGGGAGATCGCTAACCTTCCGCTTCTTAGATATTGAACGGTTCTCCATCACTGCTGCATACTTTAGCGAAGTCAACGAAGGAAACCAAAAGACCGGAGAGACATATGTAGGGAAGAAACTCGGCGAGGTCGATCGAGGCGCATGCGCCGTCTATTGTGGTGCCATCTATTGAAGCAATCATATATTACTGTTTACAGCGCGCTACTGCCGGTAACAAACATGTTATCATCGACAAATTGCAGATTAAAAAATTAAATGCCGCGGTATTTTCATTTTTACCTATCGCGAAAAATTTTAATTCCGTGAATTTATTTTGATGGGTAAAAATAAAATTTCCGGTCAAGAATACAATTGATCTATTATATGGCTTTTAAAAAGCAGATTTTTATTTATTTTAGAGATTTGCTTATTATGTATACATATAAGCCATTAATATTATAAGCATTAATATTAATATATAATATTAAAAACCATATAATAGATTAATTGTATTCTTGATCGGAAATTTTATTTTTACCCATCAAAATAAATTCACGGAAATAAAATTTTTTAAATTAAAAAAAAAATATATATATATAAATATACAATAATACGGTCAAAATAATATTTATAATATAAATTATTAATATAAATAAAATTTATTTTTTAACTTCCAATTTTTAATAAATTCCCTGTGTTGAAACTTGAAACGATCGAAAGATTTTTCATGACAAACTGCAGATAAAGAATTTCTGTTTTTAATTACAATTCTTTTAAAAATATGTGTCATAAAAATAATTTTTTAAAATTTTATACAATAATAATCACAACTGCTCATGAAGTAAGTATAACGAAAGAACCAATTATTATAGTATCGCAAAAAAGTGATTATCGAGATGACATATTCAAATATCGATTTATAACATAATTTATCTTTTTAGAAATGGACTTGTTAACTATAGTTATAAATTTATAAATTAAAATGAATTTCTCGTTTACAAAAATATTGCGTTGAAAGCTCATTATATGTTGAGGATTTCAGCGAGAGTAATTAAATACTGTCGCCACTTTCGTGGCGTTCCGCGGTGCGTTCAGACGCTTACTTGGCAGATCTTAAATACCGGCTACACTAGCTGTCGTTGTCTGACCACTCTTCACTTATCGCGTCTGCGTAACAACGCGGACGCACATCGCGGACGCGGACGCGTGCGTTCTGCGTCGTCGTGCACGAGACATGGAGTGGAGAACAGTGGTGATGATAGTGCTGGTTGTGAGCCTCTGCTTCTTTATCGTGCCGATCAAAGTCGGGCCTGATAAAACTGCCGAGGACGCGGAACTGTTCGCGAGCTACGTGGCCCGATACAACAAGTCCTACAGGAACGATCCCGTGGAATATGAGGAGCGATTCCAGCGTTTTCAGGTGAAAGATTTATCTGCAAGCCGGCGATCGTAAAACCACGCGATCGTCTTACTCAAGCCGGTTGCACGCGACAGCATCGTGCTTCCCTTCGGATTTAATAACTCACGTTATTTCATGTACACATTGATACGTTTCAATGTAAAATTCCCCCCTGAGGGATTTTAAAGAATAATCACTTATTAATCGCATTCCAATTAAACACGTAAACACAAACACGTACGTGCGCATGCGCGCGCGCGCGTGCATTATGAGTCACTCGCGTCCGCAATGTGACTCGGTGCATTAATTAGTTCTATCGGCACTGACAGGAGAAGCGTAATGATAAGAAAGTTTCAAACTTGTTAGATTTAAGTATTACCGTTTTACTGGACATTAACGTTCCGCTGTATTCATATTATCGATTATCTTCGAAATCTTTTAAAACAAATCCGGAATGTGTATCATGTGTTAAATAATTGCAATAATGATAATAAAAAATATATATGTATAATGTAAATCAAATAATTATGTAATATTAAAATAGAAAGATTATGTGTAAGTGAAAACTAATCTTTGTAAATTGGTATAAATACAGCTTCCTTTTCTAAAGTAATATTAATTAGATACAGCTTCTTTTTCTTTAAAGTATAATATTAATTAAAAATCAATTGTAGAAGTCATTGCAACATATCGAAAGGTTGAACGGTCTACGGTCGTCGCAAGAAACCGCGTACTATGGGCTGACAGAATTTTCCGATTTATCCGAGGATGAATTCATACAACAAGCGCTAGTCCCCGATTTACCTTTGCGGGGTATGTTTAATTTTATTTAAGGTTCACTTTAAAATAGCGATTAAATTAAACATTAATTAAGTTTAAAAAGGTAAGAAAACATTTAGATTAATTTATTATTTATAATAGATTCATTAAAATTCGTTATTGTCCATTAAAATTAAGCTTGCTGTATTATTTAAGAATTAACAAGTGTTTTCCGGAGAAAGCTCGGTTCGCAACGATTTAGCGTTGTGATTTATATTTGCTGGTTACAAAAGATATGACAATTTTGTTAATCAGGGAAAAAACATATGACAGCGTCGTATCATCATCAGCACTTTACGGGCTCGATTAGCCGAAGGAAAAGGATGTCGGGTGTACCCTCCAAGTTCGACTGGCGGGACCGAGGGGTCGTAGGGCCGGTTATCAGCCAAGAGAATTGCGGTGCCTGCTGGGCGTTCAGCACCGTCGGGGTGGCCGAATCGATGTACGCCATCAAAAACGGAACTTTGTATTCCTTTAGCGTACAGGAAGTAGGTCGTTATATTCCTGACACGCTTTTCTATTTACCAAGGCGAAGGGAAACCGCACGAAGGAGAGCCCGCGCGGTCCCAAGACACAGATTTTACGAAAGCGCTTTCACGCGCGTTGTCGTCGCGTTAATAAATTCGCCGCGCACATTTGACGAACACTGAAAGCGGCCTTGGCTCTTATACTCTAGCGGTTCCCTCGGTCTTTCAACGCAATTCTTGTACGCCTACACGCAGGAAACTGGAAAAGTTTTGGGATTTATAAGACGCGCGAGGGTAGCCCTTGAATTCTCTCTCTTTCTCCTCTCTCTCTCCGGGAGGAAAATCGATGCTCTAAGAAGCAAGAAGACAAATCTTTTGAAAATCTCAACACTTTTTTTAGACGCCGTGTACTAATTTGTCAGCCAATAAAGTTTGTTCTCCGACATTGTACAGATGATCGACTGCATGCCAGGCAGTTACGGATGCCAGGGTGGCGACATATGCAGTCTACTCTCGTGGTTACAGACGTCAAAAACGAGAATTATATCTGAGACCGATTACCCTCTCACGTGGCGAACCGACACGTGTAGATTGCCTAAGTAGGTTGCATGTAAATGGCAGGGTTTTTTTATAGCGAAAAATGCAAAGATATATGACGAGACTTGATATATCTTTCAGAATTTCCGCGAAGACGTCGGGAGTTAGGGTGACGGACTTCACGTGCGACAGGTAGTTTTATATCTCCGTTCCTGCATTACTATTTATAATTACACTATTTTTTTATTATTATTTATAACGCTCTATTTCCTCCTCACACGTGAAATGTATGTCGTACTTCTTTCTTTTCTCTTGCCGCGTGATGTGCATCAATAAGCCGAATTGTCGATTACATCGGCGTTAACGAAGTTACGTGGAAGGTCTGGAGGCCTTCGGCCGAACGCGCGCCGCCGCGCTGTCCGACACTCGCGAATACTAATCGAGTTTGTTTCAGCTTCGTAAACGGGGAGGCTGAACTTTTGACGCTGCTCGTTACTCACGGACCCGTGGCGGCTGGCGTGAACGCCATATCTTGGCAGAATTATTTAGGCGGCGTAATACAGTATCACTGCGACGGCTCGTTCAAGTACCTGAATCACGCGGTGCAGATAGTGGGATACGACACGGGAGCGAGTATACCGCATTACATCATTAAAAATTCGTGGGGCCCGTCCTTTGGCGACAAAGGTTACATTTACATTGCGATCGGCAAAAATTTATGCGGTAAGATCGATGAACGAACGACACCAACTGAATTGTATCGCTTACTATTTAACGCCGGATAAACGAGTATATATTTGTCGTGTGTGTTCGCAGGTATAGCCAATCAGGTCTCCTCGCTCGAAGTCGTTTAGTCGATCGCAGAATGTAAAATTGCAGCGTTTTCAATGTCTGAACGAAATAAATCGAGAGGTGTTGTAAAAAAATTGTGACTTAATAAAATACATTATTAAGTATACGGAGATGTTAATTGTATTTTTCGCTACTCTATATTTGTTATGTCAGAAGTCTATCAAATATGATCGCTTTAATAAAAGACGATCCAAGAGGAAAAGTTAATCTTTCGGAAAGTGAGATAGCTGGTAGTATTTATTATTTACACAGTAGTATTTAATCTTTAACACAGTTATACATATGAACTTTTAACAATTGTAAATATCATTTTTCTTCATATAACGATCGACAAGGTGAATGCTCGAGACATTGACTTTTCCTTGGATCATTCGCTGCCTAGTCTAATTTCTAATTAATAATTTTTTTTGTAAGTAATTCTTCGAGATTTCAGTTTTCAATTCTAACGCTATCGTGAATTAATTCGGAGATTCTAGTAAATTCTGAACTAATTCTGAGAATCATGTGTACTAAGTTTATTTTTTTTTAGAAGAAATGTCTAATTTCAGTGCTAAAGCTTTTTTAAGAGAAAGCATCTGTTTTCAAGCTTTCGTTTAACTGTATTACCCAAGTAAAAGAGTTACGTTTAAAATACATTTAATAAACGTTAAAAATCGTGTAATAAATGCACAAACCAAAAAATAAATATTTAAAATTTGATTTATATATTATAAGACATTTATGATCTATTTAACGTTTTCTTTTAATAGTTTAAAATGCCGTTATTGTACGAGACATTTCGACAATTTAATAAACGTATAATCAACGTTAATAATGTATATTTTATATTTCTTATATACCGTAAAAATGTTTCGGCTAAACGTTTTTTTAAACGCAAAACAGTTTACCTGGATAATTATTGTATCAGCGCATGAGTGCACGATATACTGGCTACGTGTGACGTTAGAGAAACAAAACTTATTGGAGTCTCGTGAAGTGTCTTCGCTGTTGTCATGGGTAACGGCTATAGTTTACGACCTTCCTAAAGAGTCCGTCGATTCATCTTGATCCTCGTTCGTGGTCCAATCGTACGAAGCAATTGATAATTTCGTTTTCATTTGCTTTGTCAACGGCGGGATCATGTGCCGTGGTATCAAGAAGGTCGACAGGTTGAACAGATCCAGAAAGACCTTGTACCTATCGCTGTTCGCCAAAACGCATAAAATAAATGAGATTTATTATTACGAGTATTTGCAAAAACGTAAATCGTAAAATACTTGATAGTTGACAGAAGTTTTACGAAATGTGAACTTGATGCGTCTTTGAAGTGACGTACATACATATAAAGTGATAATTGACAACAGTTATCTATGCTGCTGCTTATCTAAATATTGCTTTTTGTTAAGTTACTGATAAAGGATGTATTGTTGTAATGACTTAATGACTTGTTGTGACATTGTAATAATATAACATTTATGTCGATGATAAGAACTCGCGATGAATGTTATTTGCGAAATCATTTTTGTTGCCACACTGATGCATCTTTTCAGTAAATAAGTTATTTCATATTTTTCGTATTTTAGTAAATAAATTATTTCGCTATTTAATTTAATTATTTTAATTTTCGTTAGTTATTATTAGTCATTAAGCAGATAAAATACCTTAATGTGGACTTCAAATACTGATAACCGGAAGACCCACCAGTGCCCAATTGTTGAGATCCAATCATCCTTTGTACCATGATAACGTGATTATCTAAAAGTACAAAAAGGAAACATTATTCTTAATTGTGTAAATAAATGTGGTAAGCATGTTTTCAGCACGTGTCATAACGTTATCAACAGTTTTAAGACTGATAATAACTATGCATAATATAACTGATAATAAACACGGGTCTGCAAATTTTTTCTTCTGATAAAGAAGAGTAATTTTCCACAAGAATAATTTTTCTTACGACGTACAAAAGAATTATAAAAAACTATTCTTGTTTTCCAAACAGCAAAAGTTATGCAAACTTGTGTGATAACTGTGTACATTTTTAAGTCTCGTAAATGTTGTAAGAAAATGCAAAAAATATAGATTGTGAATGTTGTAAAAAACAAAAAAATATATCACTATATTTAATTATAAACTTCAGTAAAATATAAATATGAATAGCAACGTATTAATAGTGTGTCTCTCTTACACCTCCATTTTGTGATTAGAGAGTCAATGTCCATTAGCGCCGTGAGGATCTGATGCGGCTGACTGAATCGTGGCTCATCCCGATACAGAGTGATCATTATTGCTCCTTGAAGGGCGCTGTGCGAAAATCTGCGTTCCCCGTGCGACACGAGAGAGTTGTGTTGCGACTCTTCGAAGATACTCTCAAAAACTGATTCTCGCGACTTCAAATTAGCTAAGTGATAGTCTTTGATGCTATCCTTCGATAGTTTCTAAAAATTTGACAAAATTATGAATAGCCAATCATCCTGAAATTCGAAAATAAAAGAAAAAAAGATGTTGATATATTTAGACTTTTAGAATTTCTCTACGTTTGCTCTTCCTCGTAACTTTCAACTTTGTAACTTCATGTAACTTCAGCATTAATTATTTTTATAATCGAGCTTCAAATTAAATTGCTTAATGAATGTTCAAAGTTCTTATCTTTTTTAATTGCTTTAGATTTTTCTAAAGAGTCACCGAAATTGTTGAAGAGATTTGAATATTAGATAATTTAGCATTACGAGTCGCAAGATTAATAAGTACGGGCGTAGTTACATGTATGGCTTGTTTCTGCTCGGCCAACATCTTCTGCACCGATCGCTTATACTTCCCCCAGAAATCAAAGTCGTGCGCCTCGAGCCCTGGCGTTCTGCTCAACCAACTCTGGACCAGAATGCTGAGACTGGGTTCCTCCTCGGACCGCTTGATCGCCTCGGTAGCTTCAGGATTGTTCCCAAAGATCTTTAGGAAACCGTATTTGACCCTGTGTTCCTGTTTCACGCCCAGTTTGTTCTCCAGCAGACGGAATTGCAGCGACTGGAAACCCGAGGCCGGGCACAATAAGTCCCTAAACGCCATGAAATCCAACGGTGTCATCGTTTCCAGAATCGTCACTTGCTCCACCAATAGCTATAAACAATCCTCAGTATTTTGTCAGTTCGTTAAAAAAAAGAAGGAGGGCAAAAAGAGGAACTGTGCAACGATTAAATTACATATTGTTAAATGTACATGGTAGAGATTACAAATTACGCTTTCTATCATTTTTTTTTTCGATTAGAATTTATTAATTAGACTCTCTAAAAGTGAATCAGTGGAATCATCACTGATTTTCAGTGTATATCATTTTCCAATGGCATACTTGGAACTGTGATAAACAGTGACTATTTCAATGTTGTTTTAGTGATAATATACTGATTCAAACAGTGAATATCATTGGAAAAACCATGAATTTCAGTTCTCAAAACTGTTTGGCAGTAAAACTCACTATCTTTCAGTGATATTTACTATTTAAGTTAGTATATTATCACTGAAACAACATTAAAATAGTCACTGCTCATCACAGTTCAAAGTATATGCCATTGGAAAATGATATACACTGAAAGTCAGTGATGATTTCACTGATTTACTTTTAGAGAGTAGTAATCTGTATTTTAATATATTAAATAGATCGATCTTTTTATTTTAACAAAAGAAAGATCAATTTCGCTGCTAAAATACGCTGATTAAATGGGATCGACTGATCTTGTAACGAAAAAAACATCTTGAAACGTTCTCATCGATTTGTCAACGCGGCTGCATTCGCATTTCTATGGGCGCCGGTGCAAGCAAAGGGTGCGTGAGCGACATAATACGTTAATATCACAATGCCATTGCATCTAGTATAGTATATTTTTTCGAGAACGCGAGAATAATTTCTCTTGAAAAAAATGTTGACGTTATCTCACAATTTCTAAATTTATAATGCATTCATGTGCATACATACGTTGCACAGTCTTGGATATTATTTTGCATATCTTCCGAACGGTATTGTGTACCGAAGACAAATTCGCTCGCGCGCGTTAGTCGCGTCGATCGTAATTCCATTTCGAGACACTCGATATTACGTGCTCGTGCGTACACCGAGAATGCAGTAGTCGGCGAAGAGAGACGTTTTATCGAATCAGAAAAATAAAGAAAGGTACCGACCGCACCTTCTGCGGTATTGAAATAGAGTAACGGGTTTGTTACCTAACGTAACGTCTTCCCCGTTCTCCCTTTAACGCACGCACAGGCGCCCGGTGTCGCATATCGTCTAGAAATATTATCTTACTTGTAGCCCCCGCAGGGCTCCCCGTGCGGTTCCCACAGTCTTGCTTATCGTTCATCATGCCTAAATCGGGCGAGAAAAATCACCCGCGCGCCGCATCGCCGCACTTGATACGGCCGGCCGTTACGAAATAATATATATTATCGATGTAGTTTATCGCGAAGATGAAGCAAGTGGCAAGGAAAAGATATCATAGTACATTACTCAATATGCCTGTTATAGCGCGTCATATGTTCGATGTTTTCGAAGATATGTAAGAGGATGTGAGAGAAAGTGTCGCGACACGGTAAACAGCTTTGTCTGGCGAGACAGAAAAATTCGATTAAAGGGACACACTACCTGCGGCGAACTAATCGGCTTGTAATTAAGGGCCGTTCACCTTATTGCGTCGCTACCACCATTATTACTAAATAGACGAATTTCTGGCAGACACTTAATCAGCATGTCGCTCTAATTATATCCTATTATTAGATTTAAAAAAAAAACATAAAACTGCATTTTTTTTTCTTTCGAGAATCCTTGAGGGAGAAATCGTTTTTGGAACATACCTTCAGAATAAGGACAATGCGATTCAATCGTTTGAGGATCTCCAAGGTCTTCGACTCATTCAAGACTTTAGAAATTCCATTGCTCTGGTTGGCGGCCGAATGATCGTTAGAAGATCCGTTGGGCACGTTGAAATTGTCGGACTCGGAGCTGAAGAGCGCCCTGACGGAATCGAGCTCGAAAATAATTTGCTTGAACCAAAGCTCGTACGCTACAACGAATCGGGATGTAACGATAAATTGATAATATAAACGTTTCAATAAACAATTGATATATAGAGAGGGTGTTAAATTTTGACTATTTATAACGTTACTGTCCGGCCAACACACATGAAATTTCGAGATATACAAAATTATATATCATATTAAAGGGCTACGTAAGCACGATCGAGTCGCATCGCTATCGTTAATCCTGCGAAACCGGGAGAAATCGTGATCAAAGACAATAAATTGAATGCTATCACATTTATTGATAAAAAGCAATTGTTAAGCAATGTAATCTGTATTGTTTAAGGATGTATAATTTGGAGGAGTTTTTCGAGCGATTGATGAGCGACGAAGAGTTTGATATCAAATAATCGTTTGGTTGTTTCTGACTTCAAATAACACGTTTATCAAGTTATATGTGTTTAATCATAATATAATCCCTTTATTGCTTAATTCGTGATGTCTTAATATCTCATTTAACACCTTTTTGTCAATAAACGTGATAGTATTATATCGTTATGGTGCAATTTGATCACGATGTTGTCGGAGAACTTTTCGATACGAAATAATCATTTGATTGGAATTCTGACTTTAAATAACACGTTTATAAAGTTATATGTGTTTAAATAATAATATAGTCCTCGTTGGTTAATTCGTGGTATCTTGATATCTCACTTTTTATCAATAACAAACTTTTTATCAATAAATGTGATAATATTATATCATTATGGTGTTTGATTCCAATATTGCCGGGAAATTTTTTCCAAAATAAACGATACACCACTCAACCTGTTAGTAATTCTTTAATATGACACATAATTTGTACATTTCGAAACTTCTTTTCATATCGGCTGGAAAACAACCAAGACTTTAAAAAGGAAGATTTTATTAAGTAAACAATCTGAGATTGCGCTATTAAAACAAAATTCATAGAACGTGAATAGATAAATGAAGCTATTTTATAGCGTAATTCTTCTTCATGCATAGTAGAAAAATAGAAAACTCAATTGTCTCATGCTAATCGAATAAGAGAACGTCAATTATTAGTAAAATACCTTGATGGGTGACGATAAAGAGATGCTCGTCGTGAACCTCATTGCCGCATTCGGCGCTGAGAAGCCTTTGCGCGGACAAGATCTTATCTAAACATAGATACTCGCCATAGTGCAACCCCGGTCCTTGCTTCAATTCGTCCCGCCGTGTCTGATCGTCCCGATTGCGCTTGTCCTCTCTTCAACAGATACGTGAGGGTCGCCGTTAGTTTTTACGTCGCCGTTACCGCGACTTTTTAACAGAAAGGGACGACGCGTGATCGATTACAACACAAAAGGGTGCGTTCGGGGGGTGTACGCTGTCATCGCTATATACTGTGTCATTCTATCTTCGTTCATTAGATCATTCATTAGAAATGTGAAACAAGGATATAATGACGTAATTCATTAGAAATGTGAAACAAGGATAATGGTGCAACAGCGCTGATAGCGCGCAAATCGAATGATGATAAACCGCTTAATGCAATTTGTTTTGACGGATGTTTCATAAAACGTATTTCATCATAACTTTATCATTTAAAAATATAGACTCTTCTTCAAAATTATGTGAAGTCATTTCAATTTTTAAACAATACACGGAAAGAACGATTTTGTTGAAAGGTCTAAAAATTTTGCTAAATATAGATCTGAAAATAATTTTTTGTTAAATCACCAAAATAATTTATTGGAATGTTAAAACTGAGAAGCATTGCTATAAAACGTTTTGATATCCTAGTAATCATTTTGACTTTCGCACAAAATTATTTTGATTATTGTTCACGCGTTTCCTGAAATTCTACGGACCTTCGACGTACGCGTGAGATATCAATTAATTTCTAATACAATTAGGAAGTGCTGGATGAGGTAGACGGGAATTAAATCAGCCGTTCGATATTAACTCGCGAATCGAAGTGCTCGTTTCGCAAAAACGCACGGACCGGTAGCCCGAAATCTTTCAGATTAGGTAAAAATGAGGATTCGCAACGGTTTCTCTCGCTCGTCATTGTTTTCGGACGCTTAAAGGTGATTCCGTTAACAATGATTTGTACCAATCGGAGTCGAGAGTATGAAACCTGTTCATATATGGATATGTATTTGTCGCGGTGTCGCGAATGTTTGAGATAGAATCGTGTGATGAAACGTTTAATTTTATTTGTCCTGCGAGAATCTCGAACAATTATTGAACAAAAAATATTTTCAGATCTGGATTCAGCAAAATTGTTCTTTCCGTGTGTGTTTTAACAACGCTGGACTGCCTCTTTTTTAACGGAATGCAGACTAAAATTAAAGAATTTAAGGAAACTCTCTTAGAAGCATAAATGTGTCTTTTTTTTATTTTTAAGTACTCGCGATAATCGGCGATTTTTTTCTATGGTAAATAATGATGCACGGAAAGAATGATTTGTTGAAGTACCTAAAAATTTAGATAGATACAAATCTGAAAATAGTTTTGTTGATCGACAAGGCAACAATAATTGTGTAAGAAATTCAAGCATGGTGAGTAATGCTGCAAAAAATTTTAACATTCTAGCAATCAGTTTGAGCTATTTTAGCAATTATCTCACATAAGCAATTATTGTTATTATAAAAGCGTTCTACTCTGAAATTCGTTTTGCAGCAATACTGTCATTATACTGTCTAACTGAATCATATTTTGATGATTCAACAAAGTTATTTTCAAATTTGTATCTGGCTAAATTTTTAGATATTTCAGTAAAGCCATTCATTCTGTGTGAAAATTTCTCTAAATATCTAAGAGTAGTGAAAATTAAAAATATATTACTTACGCAATGCTGCTCATTGGGCAAGACATTCTTCAAATATGTCTCTGCACGCTAGTTTTAGAAGTAGATAAAGTAAATAAAGACACTGAGATTTAACAAGATATTCGATTTTTTTCCTTTTGTTTCAGCGAAGTAATTGCCCGAATTGCCTTTCAACAAAGGTAACACAGACTACAATTCACTCGGAAGGTCCGACGTGCTGAGATCTTTTAAATACGACTTGTCAAGTGCCGCATTTGCGTGTACGAGAGACCACGCGCGACGCACACTGTCGAAGAGGTGGATGGCGCTCGACTAACGTTCGATTCGTCGTTCAGAATTTATCTTCCGTATAATGACAGTATTGCTACAAAACAAATTTCACGGAATGCTCTTATGCTAACGATGATAACGATGATTTCTTACGTAAGATAATTATTAAAATAGCTCGTTAAATAATGTTAACGTTAATCAATTCTCCGAAATATTTTTTCGGTTTATCAGAAGAGTCTTATCCTTCGTATACAAAAAACATACCCGTTTCTGATTAACGCACGCGCTGTGTATATAATAAATATATTTTATTATTCAAGTAAATATTATTATATAGACGAGAGAGTGGTTTCATCTCCACGAATTATTTAATATAAATTATTGTTATTAATTATTATACTCGATTAAATTAAATACATTTTTCTGTCATTTATAAACAATTTATTAGTATTGTTAATATTATATATAAATATAAATATTTTAATTATACATAATAAATGATATTATTGTAATGATAAAGAAAAACAGCGCAGTTTAAACATAGTTTAAATATAAAACTAATATAATTTCTTAGATAATCATGTGTACATATACATATATATATATATATATACGCCAATATACTCGTACATACATTCTGAGACAACACTGTCTCGGAATATCGACATAAAGACATTTTCTAGCGTGTCATCTGAGTTGTGCATATATACATAAAATATATATTCCCATGTACTTAAAACATATATTGTGTACGAATTGTTATATATATATATATATATAGCGTGTACTATAAATACTAGAAAAGATATTTTTGAGCATAGAATATTAAATTATATGAATTTTTAAGATAAAAATAATGTAAGACAATAATATTAAATAATATCCTTTTATATATAACTAATCATATATGTATATATATACATATATATATATATATTGACAACTTTATGTACAATAATTTTATGTACATAAAATATACATGTCATGTATATTCTGTGTACATAGTTATAGTGTAGAAACTTACTAGAATGGAAAGTTTTGGACATAGTTTGTAAATATTTTAAGACAAAAATATAATAAGATAATTTTAATATTCTTTTTAACTTTATAAAATTTTAAAAAATGTTATTTTTAAACTTCTCGTAAATAAAATTTCAAATAATTTCTATGCACAATGTGCATAGAAATGCACTATGTTATTACGAAAATTTAACTAAATTGCACTATGCACTATGTTATTACGAAAATTTAACTAAATATTTTAGACTCGCAAGCTCGTTAAAGATTTATTTCGAGAGTACATTGACAATCAAACGCATAAATTCGCGCGTGATTCGATTCTTAATTTATCACAGGTAAACCTTTATCACTGTTAATAACGTCAAACTGTTATCCGACGATTTATTGCAAAATTCTGTAATACTGTCTACCGTGAATTTCCTTTTTCATTCTATTCTGACTCTTCTCTCAGATGGCAGATGTCGCGTCGTGTACGTTTTATTGTTTTAGTTGAAAGCAGTAAGATTATTAATGTTGGGGATTATTAATGATGGAATTAATGGAAATAGTTCAAATGCAAGAAAGAACATACACATTGAAAAAATTAATATTTTTTTTATATTTAATTATTAAATGTGCGGTATACATACTGTATACCGCACACATTATTCTTTATTTATAATTATTATAATATTGTTAATAATAATTTGTTTATAACATATTACATTTATAACATTTACGTGTTATAACATATTACGTTTATAACATTTGTTTATAATAATAATATTATATTTATATAATAAATAATAAATATGAAATATAACAGTCGTTAAAAAAATATGAACGCTCTCTCTCTCTCTCTCTCTCTCTCTCTCTCGCTCTCTCTCTCTCTCTCTCAAATAATTTTTCGATTATCAGATAAAAATTACTTCAAGAATTATGATGTAATGGAACTGCATTACAGGATTACGAGTCGAATGATAACAAACATCGACGCCAAGATAAATAAAGTTTATTGATAACAATTATAACAACCGCGACGATCCTGGTTAGCAATGAAATCTGTTCATGACAATTAATCGTCCACCGGACACGCAGTTTCCCGGAAGTATTGATAACTCCGTGTGTCCATCACACTGATTATAATTTTCCTCGCCTCTCCCGGAGCATTGCTCCTTTTTATCTGCCACGCGATCTATCGAGCTACCTAATACACATATGTATACGCGAACGACGATGTTTTACATCACGCGAGAAATCTCAAGAAAAAAAGAAGTTATCTAATTTTTTATTCCAAACATAGCGGATAAACTAATCGAATAGAAAGCGAAGGATTTTTAAGAATTTAATATTTAACAGAAATATTCCTGACTTCAAACGCACCTGAATCGCAAAATGAGATTTGACTGTAAGAAGAAATGCAATATGCGCAGATATGCACGTACCGAGGAAAATATTTTTGAAGGTGAATAGCATTCCCTAGGAAATATGTATTATTTTGCGAACAAGTTTTACCTTCGTTGTCCCGGAGGAGATGTTATCGTATATCTATTTCAAGCGAGATTTTGACGCAGATCGAGACGTCATTCGCTGCATTTGCACTCCGATCGTTGCGTTTAAGTGTCTCTCTGCCATCTTGATTTGCGCACAAATGTCTTCTTAGATTGCAAATTACTCCGAGATTCTACATGTCGCTGTGTATCACTTATTTCCACAGCCCCGGAAGTCCTGTTCGATAATATCTTCAATGACGTACGACACTCGTTTATGTAATTGTGTACCATCGCAGAAGTGTTTTGATATAATTACCGGCAATGTCCACGAAGGATATGTTCATCGGACGCGTTTACCGCTAATTTCTGATATTCCGCTTAATGAACGCGCTATCGTTAGATTGCATTTCTGTATGATCGCGTAAACATTGTAAGCAAAACCGACACGCATGGATGCTCGAGTGAAGAGACACGTGCATCACTTAATTACCACAATAAATTCAATAGCTGCAGAATTATTATTCTCGAAGCATAATTTTTTTATAATTTATCGAATCTCATATGCTAAGTCACTCCTAAGTATTACATCATTTGGAATTTTCTATTTGTTCGAATTTTTTTGTACTTGCAGCACACACACAGCGGTAGTAGGTCTCGGCCGTAATTTGCATAAATTAATACCTCCTATTCCGGTTTCCCTGCTTAGCGCTCGTTATTACATTTTCTCTCGAGCGAAGAACGGAGGTCCAGCACGCGTGTAACAATTTCCTATAATAGGTACGAAAAAAAAATATGACCCACTTCGGAAATAGAATTCGGCTGCGCAAAAATAAAGAAGCGTCATAAATATTCGTGCGACGAATGCACGCGGTATTTAAGAAATAATGTATAACTTCCCCGATTATGTAATTGGCGTGTGTGCGAGAGAACACGGTTAATGTACAAGATTGGATTTTGATAGCTGATGCAAATACCGAGCTTGTGCACATGTGTACACACGAAGAAGAAAATATATCGGCGCGGAAGCGCGTGCTGGAAGTTTTTAATTATGATTCCAGACTCGAGATAGCGATTTATTTTCTGCGGCGTTAGTACCGCGCGTCCGCCGTAGTACATTCAGTCAATTCTTTTTCCAAGCGGCTATAATACTCGCGCAATCTTTACGGAATTCCCGTGTAGAGCGAGACCTCGCGCTGTCGCAATCGAGTGCAACGACATAAAGCGAAGATAATGCGCCGCCTGATTATTTGCTCGCAGCTCCGCTAATGTACGAAAGGTCGTGCCGCTCCACTGGATCGCGCGGATCCACGTTTTAAGAATTAAGCTGAGAGTCGGGAGGAAAGAAAAAAAATCGCTCGATTTCGCATACGTCTCTCTCCTAATTCGTCTTTCCTTTTTCTCACGATTACGATAACCCACTTTTCGCTCTTTGTACGGCTTCGCTCTTTCTGCAGTATTCCGTCATACTCGACTGAACAGAAGGCTATTATCTTGAGAAAAAGCGTGAATAAATCGCGCGTGTAAGGCACTTCTCGGGGAGATGCTGTCCTCCAGAACGGAAGGACGAAACGCGCCACGCCGAAGTCGCGCTCGCGGCTCGCGGATTTATGCAACGCTCGTTCTTGGAGGCATCTAATTGCCCGGTGTGGATGAGTGTCCGCTAAATTGCGGCCGGAAAAAACATTTCACGACGGATCGGGTGTCGTTCGAGCGCGCGTAGTGCTTACACGCGATCACAATCGCGTTCTCCACCTGCATGCCTCCGCCTGTATTTATTTCGGCTCAACGAGCCGAATTTTGGTTCGCGCGATCGTTTCCGTTCCCAATCGCGCCGCGTAATCGGCCAAGCGTCAATCGATGCCTCGTTATCGCTATCCTGGCCGGTCTATTTATCTATCCCACGATAAAACTCTCCGCTGGGCGTCCCCGCACAGTTGGTTACGCCAAACAGGAGACTCTCTGTCACGGGAGAGACTTCGGGAAAACTTGAAGTATACGGATAGCGATAACAAATATCCGTAAATCCGAATATCGCAAGACATTCGGATATCTAATGCGCGTCCTAGAATATTTACTGGATATCCGCCTTGGGTGTCAGACTTAGTCTCTTCCTCACCCTCGTAATTCCTCCGTGCCGCCCCACACCCCGGTCCGAGCGAGTGGCTGCAGTCTCTCTCTTTCTCTCTCTCGAGGATATCGCGCGGGCTGTCGAGAGGTCTGCAAACCCGGGCTTGACAGATTGCCGGAAAATTTAATAAAATCGCTCCTCGCGCAAAGGAATAATACTCGCGTTGTAATATATCAACCTGATGTTATCAAGCGACGACGACGACGTCATCGCAACACATACGCGGAACCTGCCTGCGACCGATCGGTGCAAGCAACACGCGGAACATCTGCGACGACGACGTTGCGGAAGCACGTGAGAAGTCGGCTAATGAGGCTCACCATTCACCGCGACTATTCGTCTTATCCCCTCGGGCTTGACTCTCGGTGATCGCGTGCGTGCGAAAAGCTTATGGGAAAAACGCTCTGGGTGGGTGCCCCGTAATATCTCGAGCAAATAAGTGACTA